TAAAATAGCAATAAAATGATACAACTAAATGACACAATTTGCAATCAAATAAATTCATTTGCAACAAAGCACGACCATTTGTTATTTAGTATCAAGATGGCCAAATAGTCAATGTTTGCTACCAAATAATTAAAATAACTTACCAATCAACAACCGAGTGCAGATGTATAAAAAAGGTAACGAAAACAAACTACTTGCATCAAGCAAGTCAAAAACCATTTGCATCCAAACAGTACAATCCATTCATATAAACCATTTCATCAAGTCCCGTTCATATCAATAACAGTTCCATCAAGTCTAAGTGCATCAAAAAGCTACTAAAGACAAAAACAACAGAACAACCTGATTTGCATCATTATGATACTCATCCCCAAAAAATTACATCCCAATAAGTTACCGTGCAACCATCTTAAAAACAAAAATACACCCCTTAATAAGTTTCTATGCACCCATCGCAAAAACAAAAAGTCATSTAAGTGAGTTATGGTGGTATGTTTGTTGCTCTTTCTTGATTACAATTCACACAATCTTGTTGTCTTGTGAACACTTCTCAACCTTCTTCCATGTTTTTTACTCTATAAAAGTATTCCTTCTCTTCTTCTTTGAACATCCCACTTGTGTGTGATATCATTGGTRGTATTAGTTTGGTTGGACAATCAGAATGATTAAGTGGTTACGATGATTAAGACGCTCTATATGATTTAGTATACATAAACAATTTGTTGTTTGRAAAATGTTTCGAATCAAAAGCCCGAATGACATAAATTTACCATTCTACACTTAGTCTTGTTACGGAATAAAATTAAACCCTTACAAAATTTCTRAAGGAAATTTCTAAATAAAAATAAAATAATTAATGGTTCAAGACTTTTAACGATTCAACAGTAAAGTTGCCTTTTTAATGAAGGCACCATGTCGCGTGGAAAACTAGGTCCAATYTTCTCTGATTCGAGCCTTGATGTGGGGCCGCTGAATGTGAATGAATGACTTACGTGACCCAATATGATTGCGGTGCAAAAAGACCACAAGAATTAGTGGTCCCAACAGATCACATTTTCCATATGGTGAACGAAACCTTATTGGTTRTCGGTTAATAACTAGTTATTGTTTTATTTTATTTTTTTAAAGAAACCTACCTATTGCTTATTACGTATATTAAATTTATAAATTATTAGTTTCAATATATTAAATGAAAAATCATAATTTGTATCTCAATGTACACTACAACAAAATTGGGTTTATAGGTCGTCATCAATCTTTAAGCGTCCCAATTGACTGCTTCATAGGACTTAATTTATAGGACCGAAAATATAAAGCGTTCTATCTAAAGGCATTGTAATGAGTTTGTGTGACGCTTTTGAGCGTCTTAACAAGTTTTTTATAACATTTTTAATACAAAGCGTCGCATTAGCAACTTTATAAGACACTTTTGAGAAAGTGTCMTATAAACTCAATTTTTTATAGGGCAAAATGCACAAAATAGCAATCTACTTTCATAAATTTCTTTATTATAGCATTGTACTTCCAGTTTTTCTTATTACAGCAATGTACTTTCAAACTATTTTTTATTAGAACATTGTACTTTGAAAATTTACCCATTATAGCATTGAGTAACCTTTTGATTTAAATTTACCCATTATACAATTGAGTAACCTTTTGATTTAAATTTACCCATTATACAAGGTTTCCATGTCACCTCATTATCCACGTAAGCTGTCCACATGTACTATAGTGATGTGACTTTTTTTTATTACAACATTGTACTTTCAAAATTATTTTATTATAGCATTTACTACTTCTTATTAAACAGTGTACTCTTAATTTTAATATTTAGATATTTTACATGTTATTTAATAAATAAATTAAATGAATTAAAAAAATTCTAAATTATTCATTAATACACCCATATTAACAAAGCTAGTAGAAGACAATTTATCTCGCTGGTATTTTTTTTTTAAATGTGTGTTTTTTAAAAAAAATTTAAAAAAAATTGTTTATTTTTTACCAAAAAAATATTATCTTTTAAATAATATATTATATTTGTTCAAAAACTTTTACTTGACGTACAAATATATTAAATTTATTAGATTGTTTTGAATTATTTATTAATATAAAAATATTAAAAAATTGTAGAACACAATTTATTTCGTTAACATGAGAAAACTTTAAAAGATATGTATTTTTTTAAACAACATAAAATAAGAAGTATTACTTATTACAAACAAACTATATCTAAAAAATAATGCAACATATTTATTTAAGAAATATTTTACTCTAGAATATTTAATTTGCATGCACCTTAATAAGAAAAAGTCAAAAAAATAAGTGTTTTTTTAAAATCATAGCAATGAAAAATGAAAATCACTAATAATAATTTGAAATAAATTTTTATTTTTATTTCAATTAAGTCATCAAAATGATGTGTCATCCACTTCACCTCATTAAAGCCATATAAGCAAAAAAAAGTCAAAGGGTTAACCGGTTTAAAAAGTAACAAGTTACTCATTGCTATAATGAGTAGATTTTTTTAAAGTACGATGCCTTAATAAAAAATAATTTGAAAGTACATTGCTGTAATAAAGAAAAACAAAAGTAGAATGCTATAATAAGAAAAATTATGAAAGTACGTTGCTATTTTATGTATTTAACCCTTTTTTATAAGACACTTGTTTTTATAGGATGATTTTTCAAATAGTATCCTATAAAATTACTAATGAGACGCTTTATATTAAAAGTGTCATAAAAAACTTATTACGACGTCAAAAAATGTCATATAAACTTATTACAACACATTTAGATATAACACTTTATTTTTTGGTCCTATAAACTAAGTCATATAAAGAGATCTATTAGAACGTTTAGAAATAGGGAGCGTCCTATAAACCCGATTTTGTTGTAGTGAAATCTCATTGATAAAAGGGAGGGGTAAATCTGTTCAAATACATGATGTTCCTAGATTGGATMTGAGGATCCTACATTGAATGAGGCGTTAAGTGAGTCAAAATATGTCCTCTCATATTAATATTTCTTGAAGATGGGATTTGTATRGTGTCGATTGAGATTGTCGGTAATTAATTTCTTTCCCAATTAAAACACGACAATTTGATAAATGCTCAACATAGTGAATAATTAATAATTGTTTTTCATTATTTTATATATTGTTTTCCATTGAAGAATAGATTCACACCTTTTTTTCAACGATCTAATCTAAGACATGTAAGAAAATGTGTAAGAGATGATCATGATTTTGACCCTTTTGGAGACTTAACGACCATTGACCTTTCTGGAGACTTAACGACCATTGACCCTTCTGGAGACTTAACGACCATTGACCCTTCTGGAGACTTAACGACTAGACTATTGATCCATTATCAGACCATTAATTCGTTGGTTGGTGTTGTCTTTTTGTCTTAATTTATTAAATTCAAACTTTTTATTTAATTCATRGTGTTTGAAAATTTGATTATCATTTGAATGATTTTAAATTTGAAAATTTCAACCAAACAAACGTAGTATCATCATCTGTAAATAACTTATTTTTATATTAAAATAAAACAAATTTATCTTGAATTTGGTTTCTATTTTTCAA